ACAGAAAATCAATCTGTCAGAATAAACTAACAACTCACAAACATATCATCCCTTTCCTATATTTAGCCTATATGAATGTAAAAATGTATTATACGAAAGGAAAAAACTGAAGCCCATGAAGTATCCCTATACATTCCTATACAATTTGTTATTGATAAACAGACTTATGAGAGATAATGTAAATCTTCTGCAACTTCAGTGCTAGCAGTTGCTCTTTTAAAGCTTAATTCAATTATCAGTTGTTTCATTGAAGTATCGACTTACTTTCAGATGTTTCTTCAACTCCTTCAGATAAACACAAATAAATCAGTCAATAGTCATCACACAGTAAGAAGTGTGGAGCTTATACTATCCTGTTAGATTTTTGTATATATAAGGAAAAGACGGAGGATCTTTGGATATATTTTCTGTGAAGCTTATTTGTACTCTTTATATTTCTCCCAAAAAAAAAGAAGTGTGAAGCTATAAAAGTAATATTAATAGCAAATCATTTGATATTAGAAGAGTTTGATGAGAAATGTCTGTTTTGACTGCAGACTTTGGTTTGGCCAGTTTGAGATATTTTTTAGATATCTTTCAAAAACCAATGCAATTATATTACTAAAGGCTTTTTTTTCCAGGCGAAACATCTTAGAAGCAACAGACTTAATGTGCTAAAAATGATTTTTGTCTTATTTCCTAGTATAAATATCAAACATATATACACTCACCTAAAGGACTAATAGGAACACCTGTTCAATTTCTCATTAATGCAATTATCTAATCAACCAATCACATGGCAGTTGCTTCAATGCATTTAGGGGTGTGGTCCTGGTCAAGACAATCTCCTGAACTCCAAACTGAATGTCAGAATGGGAAAGAAAGGTGATTTAAGCCATTTTGAGCGTGGCATGGTTGTTGGTGCCAGACGGGCCGGTCTGAGTATTTCACAATCTGCTCAGTTACTGGGATTTTCACGCACAACCATTTCTAGGGTTTACAAAGAATGGTGTGAAAAGGGAAAAACATCCAGTATGCGGCAGTCCTGTGGGCGGAAATGCCTTGTTGATGCTAGAGGTCAGAGGAGAATGGGCCGACTGATTCAAGCTGATAGAAGAGCAACTTTGACTGAAATAACCACTCGTTACAACCGAGGTATGCAGCAAAGCATTTGTGAAGCCACAACACGCACAACCTTGAGGCGGATGGTCTACAACAGCAGAAGACCCCACCGGGTACCACTCTTCTCCACTACAAATAGGAAAAAGAGGCTACAATTTGCAAGAGCTCACCAAAATTGGACAAATGAAGACTGGAAAAATGTTGCCTGGTCTGATGAGTCTCGATTTCTGTTGAGACATTCAGATGGTAGAGTCAGAATTTGGCGTAAACAGAATGAGAACATGGATCCATCATGCCTTGTTGCCACTGTGCAGGCTGGTGGTGGTGGTGTAATGGTGTGGGGGATGTTTTCTTGGCACACTTTAGGCCCCTTAGTGCCAATTGGGCATCGTTTAAATGCCACGGCCTACCTGAGCATTGTTTCTGACCATGTCCATCCCTTTATGGCCACCATGTACCCATCCTCTGATGGCTACTTCCAGCAGGATAATGCACCATGTCACAAAGCTCGAATCATTTCAAATTGGTTTCTTGAACATGACAATGAGTTCACTGTACTAAAATGGCCCCCACAGTCACCAGATTTCAACCCAATAGAGCATCTTTGGGATGTGGTGGAACGGGAGCTTCGTGCCCTGGATGTGCATCCCACAAATCTCCATCAACTGCAAGATGCTATCCTATCAATATGGGCCAACATTTCTAAAGAATGCTTTCAGCACCTTGTTGAATCAATGCCACGTAGAATTAAGGAAGTTCTGAAGGCGAAAGGGGGTCAAACACAGTATTAGTATGGTGTTCCTAATAATCCTTTAGGTGAGTGTATATATACTTGTTTTCCCTTAAAATTACTCCATTGGCAATTTTTTTAAGTACATTTAATTTTGATCAATTGTTCAGAAAACAAGACTTAATGTCTTCAGTAATTTTGCATCTCAAGTAAATGTATATTGATTTTGAATATGTGTAGATATTTGTGCTGGAAAACCTTAAAAAGAACATATTTTTTTGCAGTGCATATAAGTGCAAAAACGAAGAAAGAAAGGCAAGAACTGACACCCATGAAGTAAAGATTACTGACAGAAGAAACATCTGAGAAGCAGCAGACTTAAGCAAAAGGACACATTTAATTTGCTCTCACAATACAGTCAAGGAGAAACCGGTGAGATCTCATTGTGGACACATTAAAAAGATGGACATTTTCTTTTAATGAGATTGCTTTTTATTCTTTATAGTAAGCTAAGCATCGTGAGGAACCACAGCTGTCTGATAAGAGCCGCGTACGGCCTATCAACAGCAGAGCTCCACAAGTGCTGGATAAAAGCTTCATGTGCGTGTGTGTGCTAATAATATCACCCAGTAACAGGCCGAGGATGAACAATAAGAGGGTGTCTTAAAAAAGAGAGGCATTGTTCTAGAGCATCACTTTGAAGAACATTTCTCTGCCCATCTGAGCTGCAAGGTAAGTTTATTCACTTTGCTTCCATGTTAAGGAATACTAACTTTAATAAGAATGTTAACTTTAATGTCAAGAATAAACCAAAAGAGTTTTACCTTGGAAAATCAACTTTTGTGTCGTCCTCCATGTTTCAGGCCCTTAATATTTCCAGGCATAGTCAAGATTACCATCACCAAATGTAAAGGTTTAAAAACCGGTCATTGAAAAGCCCATATGTGACCCTGGATCACCAAACCAGTCACATGTCGCACGGGTATATTTGTGGCGATATAGCCAATAATACATTGTATGGGTCAAAATCTTTTATGCCAAAAAATTATTAGGATATGAAGTAAATATCATGTTCCATGAAGATGTTTTGTAAATTTCCTACCATAAATATATAAAACATTTATTTTTGTGAGTGATGCAGCACAATCACGAACTTTAAAGGGGATTTTCTCAATGTTTTGATTTTTTTGCACCCTCAGATTCCAGATTTTCAAATAGCTGTATCTCAGCCATATATTGTCCTATCCTAACAAACCATACATCAATGGAAAGCTTATTTATACAGCTTTCAGATGATGTATATATCTCAATAAAAAAAGACCCATGTGACTGGTTTTGTTGTCCAGGGTCACATATTGATCAACATTTTTAAGTGAGACGTCAATGTCTACAGGTCTGAATAATAATCTCGCATAAGAAACGTTGCGTTTAATAATTTACTTTAATGTGTTTTATAATGGATAATGATTTATAATCTTTCCCGATCACTTCGATTTTTATCTCTCAGATAATTTCATTAAAATGTATCACTTTATAATCTGAATGGCTTTTCAATATTGAGATGCATAAAACCTCAAATTAAATTGCATAATAGTATTAAAACCAAAACCACCTTGGTGTTTGGCAAAAGGAAAGCAATTCCGGATAAATGATGACATGCTCTTTTTCGCTTTATTGCAACATTTAACATCTTTTGCACTAGGCCAATTTGACAACAATGAGAACAACATCACTGAGGGGAAACTTGGGCCGGGTTAAAGCCTCTGAAGCGAGTCTATTTATGGTGCATTGCAAGTGGATATGGGCTGGAGAAAGCTGGGATTGTTATCTGTGTGGCATAGTTACCATGCCCATATAACCACACCATGATAGGCGTCTGCCAACACCTCTTTTCCTAGGGGTCCACTTCATCTGTGAGCTGTCAGGACTTTGAAGTGGTTAACAGACGCCGAACAGACGCCATTGCACAATTTCACATCAATCAATTAGTGTCAGTTCATCCATTTTAAAAAGCAGCACTTCGATGCTCGACAAATGATATATATACTGTATATCATAATAACGGCGAGGATTTCAAGGGTCAAATACGTGAGATTCCCGTTGCTGGAGATAACATGGTCTGATTAGCACGTCTGAATCTGACTCTTGAGAGCCTCCCAATGGTCCTGCCCTTTCCAAACAAATGCCTTTATTTTTATCTCCTAGGTTGAATCGCCATTGTAAAGATGCCCGAGTGAGTATATTGTGTCTCTGCTTTCTGTTGTTCGTCCTCTTAAACGACTTACCTAGACAAAAGCGCTCTATTCTTGGATTTGGAGGCGGTGTTGTTTTAACTTAAGGCCTCAGTATTAATGAAGGCTGATTTAGGAGTGTGTGAATACCGTACGGTTCAAAAGTCTGAGACCAGACTGAAAATCTGATATGAAATCAACAAAGCATATTTAAGATTCTAGGTCACTAATTAAATAAGCAAACTAGTAACACTGATACAATTTTTCTTGTCATTTCACACAGAAAACAGGTTTTGTTCATGTCAGCTCTAGATATGCTGTTAATAAAGCATAAGATGGACATACTTTTCACTCAAATTATGGTGATAATATAAGTAGTAATGAAAAAAATGTATTAACTTCGAAAGGAATGTAAATAGAAGCATTGGTAACAATTACAACAAGGTCTCATTAGTTAGCATAAGTTAACATGAACTAACTAGGATAAATATATATAACCTTTGTTAATGTTACTTATTTAATAAAAATAGTCATATTCATGTTAGTTCACAGTGCATTAGCTAATGTTTACAGATGCAACTTTTGATTTTGAAAACATATTAGTAAATGTTGAGATTAACATTAACTAAGATTGATAAATGCTGTAAAAGTATGTTTGTTGTTCATGTTGTTAACGAAGGAAACCTTATTGTAAAGAGTTACCAAAGCGTTTTCATTGGGGTCTTAGACTTTTGGACATCACTGTATGCCTTTTAGCTTCAATATGAATGAGGATTAAGATATTTATGATCTAATTGTGTGTTTTTATTCCTTTGCAGGCAAGAGGTAAGAGTGAAAAGCCATCGTTGAATGCCACTTTTTCAATACGTTATCTAACTAATTTACTGCAACAATAGCACATGATATTATGAATGATAGTATTCAATATGGAGTGATGCATATATAATGAGTGCTATATATAACCAATGCTCATTTCAAATTTGACAGAAAAAGTCCAAGATCTCTGCATCTCGCAAGCTGATGCTAAAGGTAAATTTGCATTGCATAATAATTTTCTACAATTATGCAATGTAGCTTCACAAATTGTGGTTCCAAATGTATACAATATTTTTTGCATTTTCTGAGAAAAAATTTAATGAGTTTTGCCTGTGCAAAATGCCACATTTATGGGTGTTTGCTAAAAAAAAACCACAACAAATTAAGAAAGTGAATTATTATAATTGATTATCTCCTTATATATATATAACATTTTAAAGAGCATGTCTATGTGTTTGTCAGAGTCTTATGGTAGCTAAAGCAAAGGATGACTTAGAGCAAGAGCTGGTAGATAAAGAGGCAGAGAAGGAGAGATATCTGTCTGAGAAAGCTCCTCCGCTACACACTAGAGAAATGTCTTTCGCTGAGCTTCAGGTATGTCCACAACTCACAAAACTCTACTGGTATTATTATCATAGAAAAAATGACCACAATAAAACATGTTCTTGAATGCTATAGAATTCCAAAAAGTGCTATTTAAGCACTTGAGATTTATAAATATCATAATTAAACAATAGCATGCTGTATACAGTATACTGTATATAAACTACCATGATTTTACCATTGAAACAATCACCGAACCATGGTACTGCCATACTTCTAGAAGATTTACCTTCAAAATCAGCGGCAGTCCTGTAAAAACTATTTGTTGTCTCTATTAGGAGCTGTGCCGCGAACTACACGCTAAAGTTGATGTGGTGGACGAGGAGCGCTATGACATTGAGGCTAAAGTGCTTCACAACACAAGAGAAGTAAGCGTTTAGCCTTTTACTGTATTTAGGCTTCAGTAACTCAGTCAACAATACTAGGAAAATGAAAAGTCCCCTAACCAGACATGACAGTTTCCAGCATTAATTATAATTTGTCACCCCGTGTTAAAAGCGAAATTGCTGACATATTCATATACATATTCAATTTGATGGTTTAATAGAGCACAACAGTGAGCCCACACTATTTCAGCAACATTTAGGGCCCTGTGAAATCAGTTTTATTTTTTCCCAAATTCCCTTTTATTTTTATTTTCAAATTCAATTTTTTCAGTTAAAATATTTCTGGATTCTGTTTCGTTTTTTAGACTCCTAAATTTTAGCAATCAAAAAGCATGTCTAATTAATTGAAATTATGAACTGAAATTTAAATTAATTAATTGAAACATACAATTTAACAACAATTTATTAAAAGTTTTATTAAAAGTTGTATTAAGTTTATTCAAAAACAGAAATGACATTTTTAGGGCCCTATGAAATACGTTTTAGTTTTTTTCTGAAATTCCATTTTATTTTTACCAAATTCTGTTTACTGGATTCCATTTTAATTGTTTAATTAAATTTGAATAATCAAAAAGCATATCTAATTAATTGAATTCATAAAAACTACTTTTTTAGGGCTCTACAATAATAGGGCTCTATAAAATGTTTGTTTTTTTCTTCAGAAATTCTGTGTTGTGTATTAAAAAAAATTCTGGCAATCAAAATGAAGGCATAAAACAATAATTAAATTTTTCTTTGAATCATATGAAATTAAACAATTTTTGGTCAAACAAAGTGCATATGATTATTCCTTAAAAATAAAAATAATTTTATCTATAGAATTTTTTGCTTATTTATGAATGATTTTTTTAATCCAAACTTAGAACCTAACCAAACAGTTCCAAGATGAATCCCAACCATACACAAATTTAAGTACAAAATTAGATATAAAAAAAAGAAAGAAAATGTGTAAAACAGAAAGTGCTAATGAATTATGCATTGCAAATGCCCTTATTGGTGATAAAATAAATGCTGGCAATAACTCATTGATATAAACGACTTTAACACCAACCGACTGAGCCCAACTCAGTCAATCAGTCATCAGGACCAAATTACATTCATAATCGGGCTGACAGCCATGTTGTGTGTTCCCGGCTTAAGAATGTAGCGTTACGTAAGAACGGAACATCAGACTCATAGGAACCTGCTCAATAGAAACTTGTGTATTATGAAACATGTAAACAAACCTGTTGCAGATCAAAGATCTGAACATCAAAGTCCTGGACCTGAGGGGCAAATTTAAGCGACCTCCCCTGAGAAGAGTCCGAGTCTCAGCTGACGCCATCCTGCGCTCTCTGCTGGGCTCCAAACACAAGGTGTCCATGGATCTGAGAGCAAACCTCAAGTCCGTCAAGAAGGAAGACACAGAGAAGGTGAGCTGTGGGTCCATGGCGTCCATCTGGGCTGAAATGAAAGAGTTTATCGTTACTCAGACTGTTATTTTAACCCAATTCTGTGATGCATTTGTGTGTCTCTTTGTAGGAAAAGACAGTGGAAGTCAGTGACTGGAGGAAAAATGTGGAGGCCATGTCTGGAATGGAAGGAAGGAAGAAAATGTTTGATGCAGCACAGTAAACAGATCACAATCAACATCTGCAAACATGCAAGTATAGTACAAGAGAATTCATGTCAACATGAAGTCAAAATGGACCATGTCTAATACATGTTTGGCTGTTGTTGGAAGAACTTTTTTTTTTTTTTTGTCTTTTCGCAGGAAATCAGGCTGGGATGAAGTACAGAGGAGGGGACAACACTAATTATTATAGGAATGCATACATAGGCCTACTTGTCAAATACAAAATGATTTGTCAATGTGTTCAATAAATGTCAAATTAAAAGCCCTGTGATGTGAAAAGTGTCAAAAACGTATTGTAAATACATTGTGTAATCTCCAGATATTTATTAACATTTGTCATTTCATGTGAATGTTTGTACAGTCAAATGTTTAGTAAGGACTAAAGCTGATAGTGTTTTGGGGAAATTGACTAATAAAATGAAATGATAAGTAAATAATCTGGAAATTCAGTGCCACGATGAAAAAATAACATTTCTTCCTCTATAAAGGGAGTTATCATGACTATGTATGTATGATGTGTCTGTAATGGAAAAAAGTATGTGAATGATAACAAGGCCAAAGCGACCTGCACATTTCTCCGTTTAAACTTTACCAGTCAAGAGTTGGTGATCATTTGGTGCGTTCAAAAGTCCTCCTGAGAACTTCGTATTTACGAATTGGGAAGTCGTGTTCACGACATGACGTCTGGTGCGTTTCAGTCACTTTCGTCGAAGCAAGATGGCGGCGACATATTTTAGAATCTCATTTATTCTTGTTTTTTAATCTTGTTTCTCAATTAATCTTGTAATCACGTTTTTTTATGGTTGCCTATGAGGAAATATAAAGTCTGCTGCTTCAGTAAAACCAGCAGGCCACTAGGAAACTGATGGTCATACCTTTGCCAGCCGATAGAGGGCGCTGTTTACCAGCTGCATATTTAAAGCTTATTTAAAACACTGTTGAAACATAAAGAACTTTATTTTTAAGAGTGTATTGAAAAATAAACATCTGTTTGTGTTCTTTAGGCGGGTTCTTAATAATGTAATCATAGCCTACTGTACATTTTAAAGGATTTAAGAAATGCATGATAAGCAAGGCCAAAACCATTCACACAAAACGCATGTCCAAACAAAACCAGTTACTATGACATGATGCAAAGGGTAAAAGGTGAAACATTTCACTGCTAAATGACCGACTTTCCATTTCACAAGAGAAAGTTGCAATGCATTTTTGTGACATTCGCCCCTCCCTGGTCACATGACTCACCTCCAAACTATGAAAGATCTGCCTTCATGTCCCTCACATTACCCCTGTATTGACTGTAACATAATGATGTTTTGCTCTAGTGCTGGAGTTTCCTCAGGATTAACCGGCTGAATAGCGTTTCCATCCAAGTAAAGTTCTGAGTTCATTGCGCTTTGAGTTCATTGATCTATCTTTTATCAAGCGACTTAGCAAATAACCTGATTTAAGAGCAGGTCAGTTAGAGCATGTTTCTTTTTGAAAGAGCAAGTGAAGACATGGAGATGGTTTCTTTATCAGTGTATATTACACTAATAATTCTTAATAGTAGCAATGGTATCTAATTTTTATATTGTAGGCCTATGTGATTTCTATTAGGCCTATAGGCTACATTATACCCACTATAACATCACACACACACACACATACACACATGTTGTGTTTTCATGTTTTATGGGGACTTTCCATAGACAAAATTATTTTTAAACTGTACAAACTGCATGTTTTCTCCCCTACCCTAACCCTAAACCTACCCATCACAGAAACTTTCTGGATTTTTACATTTTCAAAAAAACATCACTTAGTAGGCTATGACTTATAAGCTGTTTTCCTCGGGACCAAAACACACACACACACACACACACACACACACACACACACAGGTATAATATGCTCGAGGCGTTACACTTACAGACAGTGCAAATCTCATGATTATAATTAAATAAGATAAAATATACATATAATATAGACAAATTATGTTTATTTTCTTATTAAACATTGCAACAGACATTTATCACTTAGCACTATGCAATATGACAATTTATATTAGCCTAATTAAATGCTAAATAGCTAATGATTTAATACTTATATAGGCTAATTGCCCTTGGATGTTTTATAAACATATAACATGTAGCCTAAATGTAAGTATTATGTCATTATACCTCAAACTTCTCTAATATGCATTACTTGTTGTTTCGTGATGACGTTGCAGGATGTTCAGAATAATAATTGTAAATTGAATTGTAAAATAAAAGCTGAATTGTAAATTGTCAATATTGTTTGTTCAATGCCTACTTTGTATGTAAATTTGTTTATTTCTCAATAAAAATAAATAATAAAAAATGTGTCAAGCACAGTGACCTTCACCGGATCTGTTCAGGGAATAGGGAGCACTGCAGTGAACACTTCGTAGGGACCCTGTCAACTGGAATGCAGACACACTCCTGTCTGTCCTCGTTGGTTAAGACTGTTCAGACTCTTGCGTTGGTTTTACTCGTCTGTTCCTTCATTGTTCTGCTGTGTTTACTCTGTAAAGTCTGTCTGGTCTCTTGGCTCGTCTCACCTGCCAAGAAAAAATGTTAATCTGTGTAAAGTTGTCCTGTTTTATAGCCTATACCTGTCAAACCTTTCAACACAACCACGCTTTGAGTCAGGAGACAATATTGTTTATATTTAGAAATTTAATTATTTATATAGGCCTATTATATTGGATATGATCATTTAATAAAGATCAAGATGTTGAAAGTAATAAAAAAAAAAACTCCCTATAGCCTGTAAGCATAGTAGTAGGCTATATGTTTTTTTAATCTTATTTTGTATTGATGACAGTGGTGGTAAATACCAAGCTGCCACAAAACTGACAACCAAATGCTATTAGAATAAAGTTTTTTTTTTTTTTTTTTGCTATCCAAATAAAAATAATACATGTGCAGTTGTCAGACTGCATGGCAAGTTGTTTAATGGGACTAAACAGCGTCTGACTAACAGATCTGGCATGCTGATAAGAGCAGAGATTCTGCGGCAGCAGGTGTGTGTGTGTGTGTGTGTGTGTGTGTGTGTGTGTGTGTGTGTGTGTGTCACACGTGTGTTACGGTGCTTTCCCTTTCTCACCTGCGAGGTTAACATCCCGTGACCCTTCAGACGGCACAGGAACTGAGCCGCAGGTCAACTAAACTTCAGATTTCAGACTGAACAAGCTCTGCCTTTAGCAGAATACAGCTAAAATGTCTAGAACAATACATTTACTAGACATTTTTACGATGACTTATAGACAAATGATGTGATTAGAGATCACATGGTGCTTGACTTTCAGTGCATCTTAGTACTGCAACAGTATGCATTTGTTAGAATAAACAAATATCATACCACCTAAATGTACTTTAAGTCAATGTTATGTATAAATGTATCACTCCAAAACATTCAGATCTCATCATATGAGAACACAGTTGTCAGCCGATCTATTAATAGACACGATGCACAGCCACAGAGAATGTGTCCAATGTTTTGTGCATGTATGTGTTCATAGGTGCATATGTGCAGTGATGTGAATCCAGCCCACCCTCTCTGAAGACAAAACATCACATATGTAGTCATGTGATCTTTGGATAATTTATATATCATTGGGGTTCAGCTTCAAGAGCAAACAGCCTTCGGTGACAGACTCGTGAGTATAGCATCATCTCGACCAACCTAAAGACAGGTAAGATGAACATCTGCATCTCTCCACCAAATCCATGATTTATTGAACGTTTTCATGTTGTCCGACTACTATAATGACTGTAAAAACTGACACATTCTTATGTAATCTGTATATGAACAGGTCTTAATCTAAGCATGTCATACAGAGAGGATGTTGAGAATGAGTAAGTGCCTTTGTGTTTCATTAAACAGGATTTAGATATGCATTGAGAATAATGTAAGCTGAGAATAATTGCATAGACTCACGTTCAGTCACTGACACATTTAGTGAATGCAAAAGTTAAATGAACATTCTCGTGTTGTTTGTTTCTGCAGGGAGAAAGAGGGTGAGTTTGAATCTGTTGAGTTTCCTCTTCTGTAAATAATACATCTACATTGAGCAAAGCCTTAAGTGTCCATAAAGCCTAACATTCACTTTGAATACATATAACATTCATACATACAAAACACACTGTAAAAAGTGAAAAGTAATATTATTGACTTGAGTAATGTAAATTTAGATGTTTGCATCAAGTATAATTTAGATGACCTGACAAAATACATTTAATATATTCAACAACCCATATCATGAAATAGATATGGGGGTAAAAAGATGTGACTATTATGTCATAATTATGAAATAAAATAAAAAGATGTTCAAATAAATAGTTTTCATGTAGAACATTTCACCTTTTATGCAAACCCATTTCCACCAGATATAAGGGGGGTAAATCATAATTTTGACACTGTATTTAAAAAGTTACTGCCTTAAATTTTAAGTAATCAACTTGGATGTTTAAGTCATTTCATTAAACTGACTTTAAACAAAATGAGTTAAATCTTATGTAACATAAAAAAGTTGAAAATTGCTTAACTTATTTTGATGAATTAAAACAATGTAAAAACATGTCATATCTTATTGATCATATAAAAAAAAAAAAAAATATTACAATTTTTGTCATTTTGATCAAAATAATAATTTTGACCGTTTCCCTTATAATTCTGACTTTTCTCATATTTTTGACTGTCAAAATTATTAATTGTTATGTCATTATTATTTACCAAAGCAGAAATCCTATGTCAGAAATAGGATTCTTTTGACACAGATAGAGCAGATTTACTGATAAATTTCCTGAACACTGATGATTATGTCTTGAAACTATAAATCTATGCTAGTGTGGGATAAAATGCGTATGGCGATCTTTCATTTTATAATTGGTTTTATGAAACATGAGCCGTCCTTGCATGACCCAGCGTAAATACAGGTTGATATAAACAACATTATTTAGAGGCACTTAACAAATGACAGTTCTGAATATTCATAATGACTAAAGTGTGAAGAGAAAAAAAGGTGTATTTTCCTGAAAC